TGTCGATTCCGACAGATATGGATATGGCAGCAAGAAGAGCCTGGTGGGCAATGTCGTCGGGCGAGAAGTACATGAGATGCGCGGGGCTGCGAGGATCGAGGCGGAGGAGGTCCATGCCGACTTCCTTCATGGAGAGATTAAGGTAGACTGGAGGCTCGGAGCTGTGGCCCATTTCGATCTGCTTGGTGAGGCCAAGGAAGCCAATCGCGAATTGAAATTCATGGATACCGCGGAGGATGGAGCTTGCGAACTCACGCGAGTCGGATACGGTACGAACGAGGTTTTCTTCGCGGCTGTTGGGGTCGTCGAGCTCTTCCATTACATCGCTGAGCGATACGTGTGTCCGACTGCCCCGAGAACGCTTCCGAGGACTAGGCGCGCGACACTTTTGGGCCCTCTCCATGCACAGCTTGACGTCGTCGAGTGGGATAAGGAGGCGGCCCAGCTTGAGTGCGATAGATGCATCGCGCAGACCCTCGAGGCCTTTCTTCAGGAAGCCGTGGACGTTGAGGGTACAGTGATCCAGTAGTTCGGTCGACTCCCTGCCCTCTGGGGTGAAGAGGATGCTGCGGGCGGAGAAGAGCCATTCGGCTGGCCACTGCTCCTCGTCAGACTTGGGCTTGTGGTGGTTGAAGAGGCGACTGCGATCGACCGTCTTGCGCCGTGTGTCGACTGCGAGGTTGAGACCGCCGACCTGGATGGAGCCCACGTCGACTACGACCAGGGTGGTCGCGTGCGCCACGACATCGACCTGCCTGAGCCAGTTGATGTTCCGGTGCAGACGCTTGATTTTCTCCTTGGCATCTGTCAGCCGCTTCCATGTCAGGCTTCGCGGTGTCTCATCATCGCCCAGGTCGTCGTCCTCCGCCACGGGCTCGGGCGTGTTCTGGCCGCTCTTGCCCTTTTGTGTTGTGCCGTTTGCCCAATGGGCCCATCCCGTCTTCTTCCGCGGCTTCTCTCCCAGCGCTTTGAGATCGATCGTGACCTTGAGCTCGTGCAGGACGATGCTGACTACCGTGGGTTGTGCGAATGTGGGTCGGTGAAGGGTGAAGCCGAGTCCGCGGATCTCGATGCGCAGGCCATCCTTGGGCGTGAAGGCGATGCGTCGCAGCCCCCGTAAGCCCAGGCGCTGTATGGAGACCCCGGTGGCTATGCGTATAAATGCGAATAGGACAAAGGAGAGCAGGTATATGAGGAGCACGAGCCCCGCGAGGAACTGGAGGGTTGGCAGCGCCATGATGCTGCTTCAACCGTATGCCATTGACCGAGTCGAGGATTATCGAACGAGGTGGTCGCGAGTGCACGCGACGTGCCTGAGTGATGGGAGCGTCGACTGGCGGAACATAATCGAAGGGAGCGCGGGCGCAGGGCTACGAGGGTTGCTGCATCGAGGGCGAGGGTGTACGTAGGTGAAAGCGCGGACTTAACGGTCGGGGCAGATGAAAGCGGCCAAAGCGGCAGGCCCGGATCGCGTCGCTGGGTCGTAGCGGCTGTGACTAGTGAAAAATTCAGGGCGAACAGGAGGATCGCGATCTAGCAAACTCGATGTAGGCCCTCTCCAGACACTCTGCGGGGCTCCGTATTTGCTTCGCTTGGTGTCTTGTGCTGATGCCGTCAGATTTCCAGGTTCCCACGCTTCGTCGGCACAGCATCCCTGCATCGCCAAGACCCACCCGCGTACCGGGAAGGAGCTTAAACGCTCCTGCCACCCGACTGTCACCCAACGACACATCTGCGTGCTGGCTGAGTCACGCTCACGTGCCACAGACTTGCACTGGCATGACTATGTGTTTCCGTGGTGTTAGGCCAGACGGCTTTCCGACCAAATCAATCCGACCACCAATCTAGCCAGTCGTTCCTGCCAAGCACGACCGGCCGCGGCTGTCTGCATACGTGGGACGACAGATCATGGAACCTCATCCCGCATTACGGCCGAACTGCAACGGCGTCGGAATAAAGAGACGCTATCCTTGCGGTGGATCATTGCCTATGAAACCTTCAAAACTTCTCCAGGTTATCCCAGTTTCATTTGTACACGCACTGGTCCCAGTGCTGTCGGTGAACTTGACTGGATGATTGTCCATCGATGTCGCCTTTCCTCTGAGCGTTCAATGCGGCTTCCTCGAGGCCTCGCGCCTTCGCAACCGCTGCTCATACCCCGATATCCGGCAGGCAGCGCGTGCAAGTAGAAAGAAGCGAGCGAAGTACCTCAAACTTGGGAACGTCGCACCTCTACCACCATAGCACATCACATCGCCAAAACATGGATAGCCTCAATCCTCATGCAAACATACATAACGCAGCTCCGGTTGAGAGTGCAAGCAATTCGCTATCATTGATTTTGCCGCCACCCCGTCCAAAAGAATTCTCCCGCTATACGAATTCCACCGGCTTCACTTATATATATGCATTCTCGCTGCACGACGCGCAAAACCTCATCGCCAACAGACTCTCCAATCACATACCCAAGTCGCCCATCGCAGTCTTTATGGCACGAACAGAAGATGTCGCCGACAAGCCCGGGACACCATGGCACCTTTTCTACCCAGCTCTACCTGTCGCTGCTGCCAAGCTTCTTTGGACACGAAATAATTGTCACCCAAAACCCAAGCTTATTTGTCGGGAAAATTTCCGTGCGGCGTCGGGGAGGATGATCCAAAGGGAATACCAATGGCGAGATTGGCAACACAATCAAGAGGCTAGGTGCATTGTGTTGGATTCGCCAAGCACGTCGAGCACAACGAGTGTCAGATACGATGATGAGCCACTATGGGCTTACGAGGATAGGACTACACTCGCAAGGTTGGGAGCACCCAACGAAGAAGCAGGAGCACCGCGGGTTGTGAGGCCTGTGGAAGGCTCACTCTTCCTTCCCTATGCCTGATTGAATAAGAGTGCATTTATCGACTTCTTGCTAGGCTGGTGCGTAGTTGAGGGCTCAACGCCTAGTGCTTGTCGGTTTGGACTTTGCGGATGCATGTATTCATCCACTGGTCAAATTCATCTCTGCCGCTTACAGACGTTCATCCTGTCTTTTTCATCGGTTCACTGAGTGATTGTCTAATATTACTTATCCAAGCAACACGTTCTTCCATATGTTCTTTAGTCAACAGCAAACCCGGACACCTACCGGCCCAAATTTTGCGACGCACTCATTCCACGACACGGCTGGGCAACTATCACCAGCATCCTGGTGATCGTATCGTGAGGCCTTTGATATCCATCACATCACATCGAATTCCATATTGATGGAAAGTCGTGGAGGTCTCAACTTGCTGACACCTTAGGGATTCGTTCTCAGTGGTGTGAAGACGCGGAAGGTAGTGACGTCATAGCAGGGCGCGCTCAGGTCGAGCCACGAACCACCACTGTTACTCCATCATTCCCATCACCACAACGCGATGCGCTTGCATCACTAAGGCTCTGACACGTCTTACATATTTTCACGGGACAATATGGAATTTTACGCGCATTTGACACGTGAGCAGTGGCATCGTGTTCGCGTTCTACGGATTATTGACTACGAAACAGTCGCTAAGAGAACGCAGGTCGATGCATCACGTCCTCACGAGCGCGCCTGCCACTCAACCATGAACCAAACTTGTCGCATGCACATTGCGGAAGTGTTACTGCACGTCAATCACGACACATGACCTCGCGATCGCCTTCGCTGCTGCAGGGACATTGTTAGCTTCGAAGGCGCTCTGACCGTCAGCCATGATGTCCGGAAAGAGTGAATGGCTAGACTGCAGCGACAGCAGCCAGAGTTGCTTCGTCGGATCTCAGCCTCGAGACCCTGCCTTTTGCTGACTCTCCCGTGCGAAAACCCCTTGTTTGTCAGTCAGTCATCGCTTCGAAATACTTATACTCAACATATACGCCGCTACATCTTAATCAACCTTGGTGGGCTTGTATACTCCAAAACAATCATCTACAATATGCGTACCCGACCCGACGTATGCGAACGGCTCCGTGGCTGCCCGAACCCGGCTCTCATATACTACGCCTTCTCAGATAATTGGCTGTGCGGCTACTGCATCGGGGACACGCGAATGGGGCTCCCGTTGTGTACGGAGGATGGCTGGAGACGTGGCAGTTGCGTTGACACCGACAGTCAGCAATGGTTTTGCGACTCACATGCAGATCGTTGCGAAGCCATCGTTGGGAGACCACAAGGCCAATTCATCGGAAATTCACATCGATGTATGCGTGTTGGGACTCTCTACGAAAGCAATGTGCTTGATCGGTACTATTGCACCGAGCACATGCCAGATAATCAAGGACTATATGATACTGGGCCAGTCGCGGACGTAGCGATTAGCCCTCCGACGATCTCGCAGACTCTCCTCTCCACGCCACATCTCGCGGGTGTAGTCTCAGTGCTACCAGACCACCCAGCAACAGCAGTAGCTACACCACACTTGGCAACTCATGTCAATCTGGATATCTTTTCGACTGTGGTGGATACGGAATGTTGCATTTGTTTCGAGCCACAACGGAGCATGCGTCGACTTATCGCCTGCAACCACATGTTCTGTGAAGATTGTCTATCGAAGCTAGTCAACGGGCCATATGCGAGGGCTCATGACTGTCCGCTTTGTCGGAAAGATGTCTTTGATCTGAGAGGTGCGGACTGGGAGACCATTTGAGCGGAATGGGGACCGCGGGTGGTTATATCTCTTCATATGAGCAGGTTTAACTTTGAGTACCTGACTTCTTCATCTCCTGTCGCCTCCATTGCTCACTCTTCAATCATACTACACATTTCCTCAGTTAGTAGCACAAGGCAGTCAGAATCATGTCGATAATTCTTCAGGCGCTCTCACTGCTCTCCGTTGCATTATGAGGCTTCCTCGCACCTCACCGTTAGCGAGCGTGTTTGTTTGCTACTTTAGCCCCACTTATATAGTAAACTTGAGACCTCAACTCCAAATCAAATCCATCTTTCTTTGTCTCACCTGCGACAGATACAAAGGACCTCTACAGCAATCGCCACCACAATGGCTCAGCCGGCGACACCAGCCCGCCGCGCGTAAGTGCCCCTCCTACTGACGACGTCTATCCTAAACGACATACTAACATGTCCGCATCTCAGGCTCTACAACGACCCCACCTTCTCCGACATCAAGATTCGTCAAATCTACAAGGGCCAGGTCAAGGAGTATGAGGCTCACAAGGCTGTACTTTGCGCTCACTCTGGGTGGTTCATGGCAGCTTTGACTGGCCGATTCAAGGTATGTTTCAAAACCCAGACGTGAAGGCACATTGGCCTAACAAGACATCTGCAGGAAGCCTCTGCAGACACCATCGAAGTCTACGAAGACGATCCGGAAACCTTCCAAACCATGGTGGAGTTCTTCTACGAGATGGAGCTCAAGAAATCACCTCCAGGTCGTAACACCAACAGTCTTTTCCAGAGCGACGTGATTCCTCTTATTGCCCTTCACATTCTCGCCGACAAGTACGATGCCAAAATTCTACAGAAGGCCGCTATGGTTGCTTTCGAGACTCGTAGCGAAGTCTCAGGCTCTGGCCCACAGTTAGAGACAACGAAGATGCTAATACGCGCATATTACTCAGTTTGCCCAAGAGTTATGGGTGATATAGGTCAAGCTATAGTCAAGTACATCTTCAGATCATACTCCGATTCTCTGCGGAACGGAAATTACAACAAGCTAGCCGTGCAGTACGGCAACTTTGGCGCCGACCTGTTTCTTGTTGGTAGGGCTAATTCAAAGCTCATACTGAATTAGCCAATTTTGGGATGTCTTCAGATACCAACACAGCTAGAAGGCTTATTCGATGGGGATTTGAAACTGGTGGTTATGGCTTCTAGCATCATGCATGGAAGACGACTATACATAACATTCTCCGTACTTCAATGAAACCTCTCAAAATCAACGCTCTTGCTCGGTTGTGGCTTGATTCCTGCAGTCGTCGTGTAGTATTCAGAAGTGTAGAGATCGACAAACACAATCCCATCACATCTCCAACCGCTGGCATCCCTCCCACTGACCCCACAACTTCCGCATAACACCCTGTCTCTCCATCGTATCCTGCAGATCCTTCAGCGCAGCAAGCCTTCCACTCCCATCCTTCATCTTCCAGTTCCAACCCTCGGAGCGACCAGCCATGACGAGCTCCCACTTCGCCTTATTGTCAACCGGCTGCACATGCGCACCGGGCTCGCTGTACACCGTGACCACGTCGCGGGCTTGCAGGAAGGCGAAGTTAGATGTACCCTGCATACATTCGCGGATTTCGAGGACCTTGAGGGCGAGATGCGGGTTGTAGACGCGCGCAGTATCTGGGTATGTTAGTTTCGTATCAGTGAAGTGACAATATGATAACGTACTGAGGATACCAATCTTCATCTCATCAGCCACATCCGCAACAGCGACTTCCTTCTCCCCGTGACCCGTCTTCTCAACCATCCTCACGTTGATCTGGCGACCGCCAACTTTGCTCCAGCACAGCTCTTGCACCGCGCGCTCTGCCTCCCCCTCTCCGGTGATCTTGATGAATGTGCGTAGCGGATAGGCGAGGTTCTTGACGTTGGGGAGCGCGAAGTCAGGCGAGATCGTGAAGTCCTGGAAGAGTAAGATGACGTCGCGGCGGGTGAGCTTTGGTGGGTAATTGGAGAGTTCGATGGTGGTCCAAGACATGTTGGAGAGTGAGGGTGTGGGAGAGGGAGTTGGTGTAGGTGGTGTAATTGTTATGATGATTGGGTGGGGGTGATGAAATCGGGGTGGGGCGAGGCGGTCTAGGTGTAGTGAGCGAACGGTCTTGGTGAAGATCTGGTGAGCGAGAGTGGTTGGCTCGCCCGTTTGCGCTTGCGGTGGGGACATTGTATACTACTTTTGATAGTCAGTAGTGTAAAGAGAAATGCTATTCGATCGCAAAGAGGTTCTGGTATCGCGGTTGTGTGAGAGGTTGGACTTCTGGGTTCAGAACCGCCCGAAGTTTACTATCTACTAGATGATGATATCCTCAGTCACTTTCACATCGAACTCGCATTCACCACTTGAACCGAGAAATGTAGCAAGGAGAAAGGAGCTCAGAATCAAGAATTATCTAGGTGACTACATGGTCTTTCCACAGGTATATCTCAGTGATGATCAAGTAGCGTGGCGATAGTCAGACTACCAGCACCTTGCTATAATCCACAACAAAAGCCTGTGAAGCTGCCACGCACCCGTATCATTGAGACTTTCGCTTTCGATTGACCTCATGTAGTCTGCAACTCGGCTTGATCCGTTTGGTGAAGGGGAGGAGTGAGGAGGAGGCGCGTGCCCACGTGGTGAAGTGGGGCCATGATCTGACGCGTAGCAGTCCATTCGTTGCACAGCCTTTCGATACCGCTCCCAACCGCGAACAGCAACGATAAGATGGAAAGCGTCTACGTACCGCCACACCTTCGGAAGAAGGTAGCGCCCACAGCGGTATCAGACGTGCCCACGACACCCATCGCAATACCATCAGGGGTGCCCAGCTGGAAGTTCCAAGAACGGTCCGATGACGACTTGTACACCGTCCAGGAAATCCACAACTACTTCTGGGGAGAGGGTGCCGTCACCGAAGATGCACATAACGCTACCCTCCATTCCTCCGCGACAAACCCGGACGGTCTATCGTGGGTGCTGTTGTTCAATGGCGCGAACCCGAAGTGGGACGACGACGGAGTTATATTCGTCAAGAGCAACCTGAACCTTCTCACGGTAGCCACACCTCCTTTTGAGCCTAAGACAGTAATCGCCGTCGCAGCACCCGCCCAACGATTAGACCAACCGGGTGAGGATGGAGGTGTCATGCTACCAACGAGCAGCGAAGTCGCAGATGAGGACCACGAGGAGGGTTCATCGAGTGGAACACCAGAGTCCACCACCACTGAGCCGCTATCGAATCACCACAGTGAGAGAGTTCTCATCGACTACTCTCCGATCGCCGTCTTCTCTCAGCCTGTCCCGCGTGCTAGCCGATCATTCAAGTTCATCGGATGGTACGAGATTGAACACCTACAAATCCTCGAGCCTGGTTCCCAAGGGCTGCTTCATATGCTGTGGGACAAGTGGAAGACGAAGGACAAATACGGCAGCTATGTATCAAGGCAGCGAGGCTCCGTCAATTGGATGAAGAGCATGTCTTACTCGTGGGCTGTTGTCCAGATGAAGAAAGACGAAGAAGCTATGAGCAGCAAGGGTGAACCAAAGATTGAGAGAAGGGAAGATGACGAGGGTATGACAGGAGAGGGCGAAGGACAGAGCGTCAATGAGCTACTTGCTAAAATGAGGCTTGAAGACGAAGGCAAAGTGGTGGTGACTGAGGAAGAGGAGACCTGAGACCTCTCGCGTACCGATCTGTGTCTGATCAGATGGTAGAGGATGGCATCGCACAGTAGCGATGGGCGCAGATGCGATGACAGAGAAAGTAATGTCTACTTAGGGCAGTCGTTGAAGCAATGCCACCGACCTGGTAGTCACTTGAACAATATCAGAAGCCCTCCAGAGCTTCATGCACCGCGACACCATCCCGAAGATATCCGTGATTTTGTCCATGATCTTTCTCATCTGTTGACTCCTTAGTGTTCCGTATCTCTGTCCTCAAAAGGATCAAAGAAGATAGAAAAGTGGCACAAGTGATGTTTAGCCGGATGAGGCAGCCGCGTCCAAAATGCGGAGGTCGACGCGCTCCGATTGGTAGTGTCGGAGAAGGCCGATGGTGGGGCTGCCGCGGGGTATCGTCACCACTTCTGATACCATTGCCGTCCGGCCCATTGCTTATCGGCATTTCTTTCGTTTTCAATTCTGTCCCTTGTTGTGTGCGCATTGAGCTGCTCAGAATTTGAAGCCTTCTCTCGTTGTCTTCAAACTACAGCTGTCTCCTTATCCCGAAATAACAGCGTCGATCGCAAATCAGCACCCCACCAAAAACCCCACCTCCCCCTGAACGCGACGAAATGACCGAGTCAATCCCCAAAACACAAACCGCAGGTTGGATCCAAGACCCCGGTCCAGATTGCGTCCTCCAAATTCGCAACGACGTCCAAGTGCAATCCCCTTCGGCCGGCGAACTCCTCGTAAAGCTCGAATACAGCGGCATATGCCACAGCGACTGCCACAACCTTGTTTCGCCCGGGAAATACACCGAAGTACCCGGCCATGAAGGCGTTGGCACTGTGGTATCCCTCGGTCAGGGAGTGTCAGAAGATCTGATGGGGAAGAGGGTGGGCATAAAGTGGCTGTGGAACGCGTGTAAAGAATGCAGTAGCTGTAAACAAGGCAAGGAGAATCATTGCGCCAAGCAGAAGAACACTGGAAGAAGCGTCTGGGGTACTCTACAGCAGTATGTGGTCGCAGATGCGGAATTTGTTACTATGATTCCGGAAGGAGTTAAGAGCGAGATCGCAGCGCCACTCCTTTGCGCAGGTCTCAGTCTCGCGGGCGCCGTATCGAAACTCACACCTGAGGTCAACCCCGGTGACTTCGTCGCTATCATTGGTGCTGGAGGAGGTCTTGGACATATCGGTGTGCAAATTGCTACTATCAAGGGATACAAGGTCATTGCGATTGACAGCGGTGCTGAGAAAGAGAAGCTGACGAAGGAGATGGGCGCCGTGGCTTTCGTGGACTACGCCAAGCAGGATGTGTTGCAAGCCGTGCGAGATCTGACGGATGGGGAAGGCGCGCATGGTGTCATCTGTGTTGCAGGTAGCGAAAGAGCTTATCTTCAAGCTCCTGCTTTGGCGAGGAATAGTGGCGTGTTTGTCTGTGTGGGGCTTCCACCGGATACGTTCATGTTCCCTATGAGCCCGATCCATATCGCTAACAGAGGTTTGTCTTCACCGTATCGATTCAGCTAGGCATGATGCTAACGCGCTCAGGACTTGTCATTAGAGGATCCTCAACCGGTAGCGCAAAGCAGATGGACGAGCTGCTACAGATGGCTTTGGAGGGCAAGATTACACCGAAGGTCGAAGTTTACGACTTTGCCGACTCACCGAAGATTCTTCAGGAATTGCAGCGTTATGAGGTCACGGGTAGGAAGGTGGTACGGGCACCGTAAAAGTGTGGTGAGGATCTTCGGAATTATCAGTTGAGCGCATGCATTGGAGTGGTGTTTCGCATGTGCGCGGTGTGGCATTGAGGCTGCTCGAAGCGCGGAGTCTAGTATGTAACAGCGTTGGAGCGATGCATGAAGAGGAGTTGAGGGCTTGTCGTGGAGTAGGGGATATATTATAGGGTGTATTGGAGGCGCAATGTGATACCCTTGTAAAAGATTAGGGTTGTAGGGGAGCGCGGTTATGACGAATGCACTATCCTGAGCTCGCGAAAGCGCTATACGGGTCGTCCGGACATTCCCATGCTATCGCGTACATTAATCATTACATGAATGTCGACTAATACCAGTCTCCGCTCTCTTCGTTCGCCTTCACGTCCATAGGATTCATGCTCATGATTCGCTGCCCAGGTATCGTGTCCGTGAACGCACTCTCAAACACACCACTAACAGCTCTTCGACCAATCTCCTTGAAACTATCGTATTCCTGGTTGTCACCAGTAATAGCACTCCATTCGGGGTCCTCAGGGCTGCGCGCAGGGCCTAGATCACTCCAACGCGTGACGATGAGAGCCTGTTTGAAGCGCTCAGGGCCGTTGCCGCGCACGCTCTTGTCTTCAACAAGTTTGAGTTCGAATAGGTATTCGGTCGGGCATCTGGGGCAGCGGCGCATTGGTCGGCATATAGAACAGAGGTT